AGCTCAACCTCCAGCCCCGGGTCTCCTTGCCAGAGACCTCCCCCACCTTGCGGTGGACGGGGAAGGTTGGCGATGCGTCTGCGTTTCGGGTCTGGGGATCTCGGGCGTTTGTTCGCGACTTGTCTGCGGACAAGCTGTCCCCCCGTGCTGTTCCCTGCGTCTTCCTTGGCTTCCCCCCTGACGCGCTTGGTTGGCAGTTTTACCACCCCACCTCGCGCCGTGTTCTGTCCTCCCAGGACGTCACCTTCGACGAGTCGGTGCCTTACTACCGTCTCTTCCCCTAACGCACTGCGCCCCTCCCCCCGCCGCCGCTCTTCCTTGCGCCAGGTCCTCCCCCGGTAGACCCCCTCCCCCCTCAGGGTCCTGCCCCGTCAGGTGTGTCCCAGGTAGATGCAGTCGAGCCTGTCGAGGTAGCTGTTGACTCTGGTGCTGCTAGAGGTGCTGAGCCTGCGGGTGCCGGGTCTGGAGGTGCTGAGCCTGTGGGTGCGGAGCCTGGGGGTGCTGAGTCCAAGTGTGCGGAGCCTGGGGGTGCTGAGCCTCGGGGTGCTGAGGCTCGGGTTGCTAAGCCTAGGGGTGCTGAGCCTGGGGGTGCGGAGCCTGGGGGTGTTGGGTCTGCTCGTGTGGCCTAAGGCGGTGCTTCGTCGAGGCGGGAGCCACTCTCTCTACAGGAGCTGCGCGAGTGGTTTGCCCGGCGCTGAGCCGTGCTGCTGGAGCTGGAGGTACTACTGTTGCTACTGGTACCGGTGGTATGCGTACTGGCGGTGCTGGAGCTGCTGGGACTGGGGGTGCTGCTGGGGCTGCTGGAGTTGGTCCTGCTGGAGGTACTACTGGAGCTGCTGGCGGTACTAGAGCTACCGGTCCTATTGGGGTTGGTGCTGCTGAAGCTGCTGGAGCTGGAGCTACTAGGGGTGTTGGCGCTGGTGGTTCTGCTGGTGCTGGTGCGTCTGAGGGTGCTGGAGTTGGCGCTGTTGGAGCTGGAGGTGCTACTAGCGCTGGTGCTGCCGCTGGGAGTACTGGTGCTGTCCCTGCTGGGTCTGGAGGCGCTGCGCGGCCGCGGTCGTACTTCGTTCCGCTCCTTGAGCAGGTTCTTAGTCTCCCGCCCTCTACTGGTCCTGCTCCTCCCTTAGAGTGTCCACAGCCTTTCCAGTCGCAGTCACAGTTACAGCCCGCCTCCCCCCTACCTGCTCCTTCTCCCTACACTGGTCCTACTGGAGGTCTTGCTGAGCGTCGTGAGCCTACGTCTCGTCCTGCGTCGCCTGTTCGTGCTGCTCGCACTAGTGGTCGTGCTCCGCGTCCGCGTCCTCCTGCGGTCCGAGGCACACACCAGATGGCACTGCGTCCTTCCACTGCTCCTCTGCCTGTCCCGTTGCCGTCTCCTCCAGAGTCCTCTCTTCCAGTTCTTGCTGACCCAGAGTCTGACTCTCTTCGTGCTGTCAGTCCTACTGTCACGCGTCTCCTGGCTATTGTTGTCACTGACCCTTCCTTTGAGTCCACTGCTGCGTCTGCCTTAGTTGCTGAGCTTGTCGACTTTGCTGCTCGCTGTCGTCTAGACTACGCCACTAGTCTCGTTGCTGAGTCTGAGTCTGTCTGTCCTCCGTCCGTCGGGGGTGAGTGAGCTCTTAGCACGGACGTCCTTGAGGACAGGCAGGAGGAGTTCCTGTGTTTTGCTGCTGCTTTGCCTCATCTCGTGTCCACGCTGATTGCCTCTGAGGGAGACCCGGATGCACCAGACATCCCGACTCCTCGATCATACGCTGAGGCGATCGAGGGTCCCTACTCCTCTCAGTGGCAGTCAGCCATGGACGCAGAGATGGCTTCCTGGAAGTCCACAGGCACCTACGTCGACGAGGTTCCCCCACCTGGGGCGAACATCGTCAGTGGCATGTGGATTTTCAGGGTGAAGCGGCCGCCGGGTTCTCCGCCTGTCTTCAAGGCGCGTTACGTGGCTCGTGGCTTCAATCAGCGGCAGGGAGTTGACTACTTTCAGACCTTCTCTCCCACCCCGAAGATGACCACTCTTCGGGTGCTGCTGCACATAGCCGCTCAGCGCGACTACGAGCTTCACTCTCTTGACTTCAGCACAGCTTTCCTACAGGGCAGCCTGCACGAGGAGATCTGGCTGCGCCGCCCACCTAGCTTCACTGGGTCGTTTCCTCCTGGTACCCAGTGGAGCCTCCGGCGGCCAGTCTACGGTCTCCACCAGGCGCCCAATGAGTGGCACGACACACTGAGGACTACACTTGCGGCTCTTGGGTTTGCTCATTCTACAGCCAACCCGTCGCTGTTTCTGCGCACCGACACCTCTTTGCCGCCGTTCTACATCCTCGTGTACGTCGACGACTTGGGCTTTGCCACTGCTGACACTGCTGGACTCGCCCACGTGAAGTCCGAGCTGCAGAAGAGACACACGTGCACAGACCTGGGTGAACTGCGCAGCTACCTTGGCTTGCAGATCACCCGGGACATAGCACAGCGCACCATTACCCTGACTCAGTCACACATGGTGCAGCAGGTCCTTCAGCGCTTCGACTTCACGTACTCCTCGCCTCAGGCCACTCCTCTGTCTACTCGCCACTCGCTCTCAGCTCTGCCTTCGGATGAGTCCGTAGAGCCGAGTGGCCCGTACCCAGAGCTTGCTGGCTGCCTCATGTACCTGATGATCTGCACACGACCTGACCTTGCATACCCTCTTAGCATCTTGGCACGCTATGTTGCTCCTGGGAGACACCGACCAGAGCACATGGCTGCAGCGAAGAGGGTGTTGCGCTACTTGTGCAGTACGTCAGGCATGGGGCTAGTGCTTGGAGGGCGACGTCGAGTGGTCCTCACATGTCACGCTGACGCTTCTTGGGCTGACGACCAGGCTCTGCAGCGGTCGTCACAGGGTTACACCTTCAGCCTTGGCTTTGGCTCTGTTTCGTGGCGGTCTACCCGCTCGTCTTCTGTTCTCAGCTCCAGCTGTGAGGCTGAGATCTACGCGGGGGCCATGGCTGCACAGGAGCTACGCTGGCTCACCTACCTGCTGACTGACCTAGGAGAGCCGCCTCGTTCTCCTCCAGTTCTGTACGTAGACAACAAGGCCATGCTGGCCTTGTGTCGGGAGCACAGACTGGAGCACAGAACGAAGCACATTGCTCTTTGCTACTTCCTTGCTCGTGAGCTGCAGCAGCGTGGTCAGCTGCGCCTTGCTTACGTGGCCTCTGAGGCCAACACTGCTGATATCTTCACCAAGGCACTTCCGCCTTGTGATCATCAGCGCTTTCGTACGTTGCTAGGTCTTGTGCCTACTTGGCCTCACTTGCTCACTTCTTGACCTTGCTTGTACTGTGATCTTTTTATACCTGCACTTGCTTGTTTACCTATATATATCTGATCTTGCATGTGAACTGGCCTTATGGCCTTTGCTCTTGTGCTCGGACTGTGTGGTGACGTTGTGATCCACCCTGAGCTTGCTTTGCTTTGCTTGACTGGCCTTGTGACCTCTTGTTCTCCCCCACTTTGCCTATGGGGTTGTGTCAAACTCTTATACTATAGTCTGTGTAGGCTGTAGTGGGGTAGACTATATGGGGTACAACACTTCTAGGTTTTCCTACTTGTACCCACCTGCTTGCTAGTTCATTCATTCCTCATTTCTTCACAAACCCACCGAAAAACACAATCGTCGAAATTCTCGGCGTGAATCCCCAAATGTTGGGAGTGCAACGCGGGAAATTTTAGACACACTCATGGTCACTGGGGTTAAATTACCGAGTACCGTAGTTGGGTGCAGAAGTGTAAGACGTGGGACATTGCCCACTTGTGACACTCGACTGACGACCGCCAAAAAATGGCAGTAAATCTAGATTCGTGCTGCCATGTGATTGGTTAGGGGTGGGTCGTGCACGTCAGTCGCCCAACACCTGCACATTGGCCCAAAGCTGGGGCCGCGCGCGGCTCGTCAGCCCACTTTGGGTCATGCGCAGGGCCTCAGATTGGTTTTGGGCTAGGCTGAACAATCAGAGTTGGTACAAAAAAGTATGCTGAAAATCATATAAATTAGCCATTTTATGCCATTTTACACTATAAAATTCATAGTTTTTCCTGTTTTTTTCAAAAAAAAAATGCTGAAAAATCAGCCCTGGTTCTAGACGAAGTCTGAAATCTCAGGCTTTTTTACCTAAATCAGCCTTTTTTCGCTGACTTCTGAGGCCCTGGTCATGCGCAATTTCCGCATGACCCAAACAGTAGCCAAAACAGTGCTCATGACCCGAACATGGATACGCCCTGAGTCAAATTTATAAGCGCGGGCGCTTATAAACTGACATATATATATAATGTTTTCTAACACCAAACTGTAGATCTCGTGCTTGCCTTTTCAATCGAGTCAAAGTTACATGGGGTCTTCAGTGAAATTGTCGCGTTCGCTGGGAGATACAGTCGATCTGACTTACAGGTGCCCTTGACAGCTCCTGCTGACTAGACTCGCATCCAGTGCAGGGTTCGAATGTGAAGCGAACCGAATTTGCAACACATCCGCCTGCTAAAATAAAAATCGTTACAGTGTTTTGAACCAATTTCAATTTTTTTAGTTTACATGCGCTTATAATGGATCAAGTTTTTTCAGGGGGTGCGCTTATAATTGAGGAGCGGATATAAGCTCCATATGCCATGCCAGCCAATTACAAGCGCCTGGCGCTTATCCCAGGGTGGCGCTTATATCCGGGGGGTGACGGTACCGTATAAGCTGCCATGTTTCTCAACAATATGCGATGAGTCATGATCATGAGTGTATCTGGGCAATGAAGGTGTCTGGTTTTTATACATTCCTTTTTTCTCTTTCTTCTTCACGCAATGTTTTTCAACCCATCCCTGCCAAAAAGTACTGCGGATGGATGAATGGAGACAAGTCAAAAGACAGGTAAGCATGAAGGTTGTGCAGAGCTGAGCTAAACAGGAAGTTCAGCCATAGTGGCCTGGCCACATGTGCAACTGAAAGGCCGCTTGAATGTGGAATGGGAATACTACTGAGGGGAGTGATGCGTGCGAGAGACAAAGGACGAGGAACGCCGGCTTTGGAAGAGTCTTCGAACAGATGAGACCGTGTCACCCTGTCATGCGCATGAGCCACCATGCATGCGTGCATGTACAACACGTGAGGCAGGATGCATGAATGCGCATGGTATGTGATGGTGCATGGCACATAGTGCCGTCATTACCAATCATGTGGAGAGCAAAACAGGGAGGCAAGAAAAAGGGGAAGAGCACAAGAGTTCTGGCACGCCAAATGATATAACTTCTTGGCCAGTGAAGTCTCAGCAGTACCTGGCTACCACCCACAACCCCTCGCCTACATTGTGGTTGCTCTGCGCCCAAACCCCCCCCCCCCCCCCCCCCCTCCCCTCCCAACCCCCTCCCCTCCCACCTTCGCACGTTTTTTTTCCTGCCCAAAAACGTTTCTTAGCCTGCCCAGACTAGACTCCTTCTAACGGTCCTAGAAGGCGGGCCAGGGCTAGTGTCCAGCATCCAGACGAGCATCCCTAGGAACACAAGCCACCATGCTCCGCGCACTCTCAGCACCTGAGCCCCATGCCCCCAAAGGATCTTTCACCCACCTTGAACGATGCCACCCACCTTGAACGATGCCACCCACCTTGAACGATGCCACCCACCTTGAACGATGCCACCTACCTTGAACGATGCCACCCACCTTGAACGATGCCACCTACCTTGAACGATGCCACCCACCTTGAACGATGCCACCCACCTTGAACAATGCCACCCACCTTGAACGATGCCACCTACCTTGAACGATGCCACCTACCTTGAACGATGCCACCTACCTTGAACGATGCCACCTACCTTGAACGATGCCACCCACCTTGAACAATGCCACCTACCTTGAACGATGCCACCTACCTTGAATGATGCCACCTACCTTGAAGGACGCCACCGAGTCGTGTGCGTCCATTCCTCCAGGCAGCCAGTCCGCCACCCCTTCAGCCGTCCTGTCGGGCCCCTCAGCAGCCCTGTGGGCAGCGGAGTGCAGCAGCCTGTGAGCGGGGGCGGCGGCGGCGGGCAGCACGTGGTGCAGCGCGGCCAGGCACTGCTGCCATCCGGGCGCTCCCCCCTCCACCGCCTCAGGGTCGGCGCCGTGGGAGGGGGGCACGGCAGGGAGACGGTGGGCATGGGGCGAGGCAAACAGGCTGAGGTCCTGGGCGGGGGCAGCGAGGGCTTTGAGGCGGTGGGAGGCGGCGAGGGCGTTGACCCACGGGCAGAAGCGGCGGTGGCTCAGCAGCGGGTCAAAGAGGCGCTGCGGCTCATCTGAGTCAGAACATGTGGGTAAGGGGTTGCACGGAGGCAAGGGGTTTCACGGAGGCAAGGGGTTGCACGGAGGCAAGGGGTTGCACGGAGGCAAGGGGTTGCACGGAGGCAAGGGGTTGCACGGAGGCAAGGGGTTGCACGGAGGCATGTGGCAAAGTGTGGCGGCATGGGCCATGCATGTGGTGGAACATGGTGAAGCTTGGTGATGGGCTGGTGAATGGTGGCGGCGCAGGGCTATTCTACACGTGAGAGCCGAGTGAGGTGAAAGCAGGGGCGTGAGGAGAAAACAAAGATGTGAGGTGAAAGCAGAGGAGTGAGGAGAAAAAGAAAATGTGAGGTGAAAGAAACTTTGGAACGAGCTGAGTGGTGAGCGGCCTCAAGGGCGAAGAGAGTGGAGTGGTGGGAGCACAACAACACAACACGCACCAGAGGCTGGGCCACCGTCAGTGGCAGGAAGGGCAGACACAGGGCCGGGACCAGCAGGCGGCGTGGCAGGAGTGGCAGCATTGGCAGCAGCGGGAGGTGAGCCACTGCTGACCTCAGCCTCCCCCACACAAGGTGGACCCACGCCGTTGGCACCACCACTTGCAGCACGAGCAGCAGGAACGGGCGGGGCGTGAAGGGCAGCAGCAGTGGCAGTACCATCCACACTCTGCCCTTCCCTGCCAGCCCCATGCACTCCCCCGTGGCCGTTCCCCCCTCCTCCCTGCACGCGCATCTGATCTGCAACCACCCCCCCACGTGCACCGCCACTGCCTCCATGCTCTCCTCGCTCCTCCCCACCCCTGTGCTGCCTGCTGCCTGCTCCCCCCCGCACCTCTCCTAGCCCATTCACGCCACCTGTGCCGCCGCCGCCACTCACGCGCTCATCGCCAACTGCCCGCTCCCCCACTCGCCCACGCTGCTCCGCCACCCCCCCGCCCTCCCCCTGCCCCTCATCCACATCCATCCCCACCGCCCCCTCCCCGCCCCCCTCTGCCCCACCTGCTGCCAGCCCCACCTCCCCTGTGCCCTCTGCTGCTTCCTGCACGCCCGCTGCCCCTGCTGTTGCTCCAGCATTCGCCACGTCAGCACGGACGTCCGCCTCAGCATCGCCATCCGCGTCAGCATCCTCCTCAATGAGCAGCCCCTGGGTGGTGTCGCGGGTCTCCTCTGGGCCCCCCGTCTCCCCCGCGCCCTCCCTCTGCACTCCCCACTCACGCCCCCCGCCCTGCCCTTCCTTCGCTTCCCCCGTCCCCTCCCCCCCTCCATCCTCACCCCTTGCCGCCTCCTCACCTGCCTTCCCCACGCTGCTTCCCCTCCGCCCCTCCCCCAGCCCGCCACTGCCCCGTCCTTCCCTCCCCCCCGTCGCCCCCGTTCCCCCCCCTGTCTCCGCTACCTCCACACCCCCCACCGTCACCTGCTCAACTCCTGTCATACCTGCACCCTCGCCCATCCCCTCCCCCATCCCCTCCCCCATGCCTTCCCCCGTCTGCCCAATCCCAGCCACCGTTTCACCCAGCCCTCCCACCGCATTCCCCCTTATCCCTTCCCCAGCTTCCCCTCGCCTTCTGCCCCCGTCCTCCCCTCCACCCCATCGCCCACCCCACCCGCCCCCTGCAAAGCTGAAACTCTCCACCTGCCTGCCGCCTCCCCTCTCCACATGCCCCTCCCCCTCCCCCTCTACCCCTCTCCCTCCTGCGCCCTCCCCATGCTGCCTCTCCGCGCCCCCGGGCGCACTGCCCGCCCCTGTGCCAGCAGCGCCGCCAGCAGCGCCCCCCCAGGCCCCCCTCACCACGCTGCGGCAGGCGGAGAGCGCCACAGCAGCCAGCGCGGCACGGGGCGCGTGGGGAGGGGCGCCGGCGGAGGCGGGGGCGTCGGTGGAGGCGAGGGCGCGCGAGGCGTCCACGACGTCGCCCTCCAGCGCCTGCGCCTCCACCTCCACGCTCGCCCCCATCGCCACACTGCCCCCGCCCGGCCCCTCCGCGTCGTCCCCCGCCGTGCCCGTGCTGATCACCGCCGCGTTCGTCGCCGCCTCTCCCTCCCCCCCGCCCCCCCCCTCCCCACTCTTGCTCAGCCCCTCCTCGCCCTCCGCCCCCACCGTCCCCCCCCCGCGCGCCTCAATGCGCCCTGCACTCGCTGCACTCACGCCCGCACCCACAGCCCCTGCGCCCACACCCATAGCCGACCCAGCAACAGCAGCAACAGCAGCAGCGGCGGCGGCAGTGGCAGTGGCAGCAGTGGCAGCACCAGCGCTGGCGGCAGTGCTGTGAGCAGCAACACCCCCCTGCTCCGCTCCTCCCATCCCCCCCTGCATCCCCATGCCCTCCGCAACAGCTTCAACCCCCAATCCTCGTCCCTCCCCCGTGCGGCCCTCCGCCTCTGCCCTCTCTATTGCCGCCTGCACCCCAGGTGACACCTGCACATGTCCCCCCCTGCTGCTCCCCTCCTCTCCCCCACCCACCTCTACCCCACGCTCCACAACGCCCGCCACCTCACTTGCTACCTCCATCTGCTCGCCCCCCTGCCCCCCCGCCCCCGCCACCCCCCCCTGCGCTGCCCCCTGGGCGTGCAGGTCGAGGGGGGGCGGCAGGTTGTCAACGCTGTCAGCGCTGGTGTCGTCGCGCTCACTGAAGTCCGTGTTGGTTGCGTACACCGACGACGCCCGCGCCCACTCGCCCCCCACCCCGCCCAACGCCCCTGCCCCTGTCCCTGCCCCTGCTGCGCCACCACCACCACCAGCGCCAGCTCCCGCAGCAGCAGCAGCAACCTCAGCAGCAGCACCAGCGCCAGCAGCAGCAGGAGGAAGAGGAGCAGCGGAGCCAGCAGCAGCAGCAGGAGACGCAGCAGCAGCACCCAGGGCTTCTGCGACCTTGCCCCCCGCCCCCTTCCCTCCAACCACCCCTCTCCCAGTCCCTCCTCCCCCTGCGCCCGCGGCCTTGCCTCGTGGCCCCACGCCCAAGGCAGTGCGCGAGGCGGGGGGGCGGGGCGCGTGGGAGGAGGACGCGTCCACGTGGCGGCGCTTCTGAGGCGGCTCCAGGAACTCACTGCCGCCCGCCCTGCCCTCTGCCGCCCGCCCCCGCCTCCCCTGCCCCTCAACCGCCCTGCCCCGCTGCTGCTGTGCGCCATCCCCGTGCCCCACCGCACTGCACCCCACTGCCCCACTGCCTGCCGCTGACGCCACACCTCCAGGCACACCCTCTTCCCCACCCACACCTCCCCTGCCTGCCGTGCTGGCAGCCGGTGCACGTGTGGACGGCACAAGAAACGCCGCTGCCGACAACTGCTGCTCCACACGACCCCTGTCACCGCCCTCCCCGCCACCGCCACCGCCCTGCATGCTGCTGCCCTGCGTGGGACCCGTGCTCACGCACGCAATGATGTCGGCTCTAGCCCCCTCGTGCCGGCTCTGCTGTGCTGCCACTGCCGCCCCCGCGCCCTCCCCCTCGTTGCCGGTCTCATCGCCCCCCTCCAGCCGCTGAGTCTCCCCACACCCCTCCCCCCTCCCACTCTCATCGCCCCCCTCCATCCTCTCGTTCTCACCCCCCCCCTCCTTTCCCCACGCCCCCCTGCCTGCGCGCCCGCCCGCTGGCCCCTCCGCCTCGCCCTCTGGCGCACCCTTGCTGCCGGCGGCGCGGCGAGCGTCCCCCTTGGCGCGGGCAGCGCGGGCGCGCAGAGAGCCCTCCACCTCGGCCTCCTCGGACGACACCTCCTCCATCTCCGCCACCACGCCCTCCGCACTGTTCATCGGCAGCACCGCCACACCCCCCCGCCCAAAGCTCACCTCGCCCAAACACTGCCCAAACCCCTCTGCGCCCACGCCCCCTCCCTCTCCCCCTCCCTCTCCACCTCCCTCCCCCTCTACCCCTACTCTCCTTGCTGGTCCCCCTCCCCCGTCCCCTTCCACTAACCCTCCCCCTCCCCCACCCCCTGCGCCTGCCTTGCCGCCCGCCCCCAGATTGGCGCCGGCAGGGCCGCTGAGGTGGCAGCCAGGAATGGGCAGGCCGGCGCCAAAGAGGGGGAGGGCGGAGGCAGAGCCGAAGGGGCGCGGAGGGGGCGAGGAGGAGAGGTGCGTGGGGGGGAGGCCGCCAGCGATGGTCAGACCCAGGTCCAGTGCCACCCCGCCCGCTCCCAACCCTGCTCCCGCTGCTGCTGCTGCTGCTGCTGTTGCTGCTGCTGGCGATGGTGGGCGGTACTCGGGATGGGTTGTTGGTGCAGCAGCGGACGCAGCTCCGAGTGGCGTGGCGCTGCCTACAATTGACAGCGCTGCTCCCACGGGGGCAGCAGGGCGCACAGCCTCCGCCTCAACTCCTGCTGTCGCCCCCCCCGCCTCCAACCCCTGCTTCCGCCTCCTCACCACAGAGGCAGGCGCACCCATGCTGCCTGCTGCCGCTCTCCTACCCACACCACCACCGGCACCACCAGCAGACGCATCAGTGGCAGTAGCAGGGGTAGCAGCAGCAGCAACAGGCAGAGCAGGGGCAGCGGACGCAGCGGCAAGCGGGGCAGCGATTCCTTGCTCGTCCATCGCGTCCTCCCCCTCGCGCCGACCATGCACCCGCCTGGGCGAAGTGACCACCTCGGGCCCCATGCCCCTCTCCGTGCCCTCTCCCCCTGCACCTCCCTCCGCTTCCCCCTCTACCCTAAACCCTTCCTTCGCTTCCCCCACCCCTTCCTCCGAGCCCTCCCCCATCCTTTCCGCCACCCCCGCGCCCCCCTGCCCCTGAGACGCTCCCCACCGCCCCCTTACCTTGCCCCCTGCGCCCAGCCCCGCCCTGTGCGGGGGGCTCGTGATGCTCATTCCCCCCACCGGCGCGATAATGATGGCAGCTGCTGCAGGAGCGGGCGGAAGACTCTTCCGCGCCCCACTCTCGCCCTCCCGCTGCTCCTCCTCTGCCTTCTCCCCCCCTCCCTCACTGCCCCTCTCCGCCTGCACCTCCCGCTCCCTCGCCCCCTCCTCCCCTGGTGGCCCCTGGCGGGCGGAGAGCTGGGGCGAGGCGGGGGGGAGGGCGAGGGGGGCGGGGGGGCGGGGCAGCGTGGAGTAGTTCCACACGCCCACGCTGGCGCCGCACAGCGCGCACTGCAGCACCGCCGCGCTCGCAGGGATGCCAGGCGGGGGGCGCGCAGGCACGTGCGCGCGCCCATGGGCGGGCAGAGCGGGCAGAGGGGCGGGGGGGTGTGCAGGCGGGTGGCGGTGGTTGGCGTGGGGCGGGTCGTGCGCGTCAGGCAGCACGCCCAAGGCGCGCGGCTCCCACCCACACACCGCGATGATGCGCTGCACCTGCCCACGCACGAGCAATGTGCCGCCGTGGGACCGTGGAGACATGGGGTGGGGCAAGGCGTGTGAGAGTGGGGGACAGACGAGCGCACGGGCAGGGTTGTTGACGTGAGGGGGAGTGCGGAGAGGCAAGGCACGCACCTCGATGTAAGCAGCGGCGTCTGACGTCACGCGCGTGGCTGTGCGCCCCACGGGGTCGTCCCACGGTGCGCCCACCGGCAGCGCGGGCAGCGCCAGCAGCGCGTCCAGGGCGCGCGGGCTGCAGCGCCGCATGCGCTCCACCGCTGCGGGCGCCAGCGCGGGCAGGCGCGCCAGCTGCTGCAGCGCCTGGCAGCGCTCAAACACGGCCGCGGCCAGCGCGGCGGGCGGCTGGGGGGGGAAGAGCAGCAGCGCCTCGTCGCACTCGTTGCCCCGCCACGCGCAGTGCTGCCTGTGCGCCGACTCCAGCCGCCCCGCTACCTCCGCTGCCGCCCGCTCCACTGCCGCCCACGGATTCGTGGGGGCGGGGGGTGAGGGGGAGATGGGTAGATGTTGAGTATATGAGGGGGGGTGAGGTGAGTGAGGAGAGGCATGCACGCGACCAGAAGCATGAGAGAAAGCGGGCGGCACGCAGACAGACCTTGAGCTCTGGACCACGTGGGCGGCACGCAGAAGCTGAGGCGCGCGTGGCACACCTCGCACGCCAGCATGTCCACGTCGCAGTTCACCCACCCCCTCCGCGCGCACGCCACCGCCCCCGCCGCCTGCCGTGGGGAGGGGAGAGGGAAGGAGGAGAGACGGGACGCGAGGCGCAAATGGCTGCTTACTCGCATGAACCGTGCACGCACACATCCGCGCATGGAGCAACACGTGCGTGCAGCAAAGCAGCGTGCGAGCAGCGCGGCGGCGCACCTGCGGCTTGGCAAACCACGTGGTGGACTTGAATGTCGCCAGCCGTCGCAGCAGGTCATTGCGCTCCCACGGCCGGCACGCAGCCGCTCCCGCCCGCGCTGCCGCTGCTGGGTCGCCGTGCGCGTGCATCGCGGGGGAGCCCGCCCCTCCCGCTTCGCCCAGAGACGGCCGCAGCGAGAGCGGCTGGGCGGCGCGCGGCGGCGCGCTGCTGGAGCTGAACGCCGCTTGGGCCGCCACGCCGCGGAACGGTGCCACGCTGGATCCAGGTGTCAGTGTGTGACGGGCTGCTGAGCTGGCAGACATGCGAGAGGAACGAAGAAAAAAATACCGCGTGTCTGTGCTCCGGGAAAGAAGGAATGAATGACGGCAGACAGGCGAGAAACACGCGACAACGGAAGGACGGGAACCTAAGAACAGGCGAGGCTTTAAAAGCGAAAGTACTAATCAGACAGACAGACAAGCCGAGCCAAGTCAAATCGAACATAACCCAAGCCAAGCCGTGCCAGGCGAATCATCCCTGCCAGACCTAGATCGGGCCGCCAGTGGCGGCGATAGGATTTGCATCGCCCGCGCGAAGCGCTTCTCAGGCGACTGCTCGTCCATTGCGCTCGCGCACAGCGTAACGATGCGCCGATATTTCGCGCGCCGGTCGCCGTGTGTCGACGGAAGACGACGGGGCGAAAAAGAACGAGCTAGGGTCGCATCGCCGAATCACGAACTCGCATTCTAGAGAATACCGCAACACGATTTCTACCTATCTTGCGGAAGTGCGATTTTCAAGATGCAACTGCGATGCAGAAGGACCAAAAGTCTGTCAAGGAATACAGCATACAAGCATATTTCGTTCTATACATAGTACATGCACTACAAACGTTCTAAGCTTCGGGGTAGACAATTATGAACACATCATGTTGCGATCAGAAGTTGATCGTGACCTAGGATCTACTCAGGAAGGTTCGCACGCAGGGAAGTGGTGTTTGTGGGCCCTTGACCTCAATAGCAGAGTGAATGTAAATGCTTGAGATGATTAAGACATGCATACATCGAGTTTATATAAGAGTACGGTACAGGGGAATACGAAAATACCTAGACTAGCCATGTACTCTAAGGGGTACATTCCCTTATTCAAATACATCCCCAACTGTGCGGCGCGAACAGTTACGAAACTGTTCCTGCCGAAACCATCCTGTCTGCAGCTGCCTGATGCTGTCTGCTCCGACGGTTCAGATACGTTCCAACCGTCTGACGCTTCGCGTTCATTCGCGATACTGCGTGCTTCTCTTTGCTGCGGTGAGGAGTGCACAGTAATATTCAAGTATTACTATTCGTAACACCCCCCTTCACTCCTCACCACAGCAACTTGACCTGCTTGACCACGCCACTGAGTTCGGAGCAGTGCTGATCCTGATGGCGTGGCAGTCGCTTCGCGAGGAAGCCTGCTGCCATGTCACCGGTCGGGCAGTAGGTCAAGTTGACCTTGCCCTTGTCCACTTCATCCTTCACGAAGAAGTACCGCAGCGCAATGTGCTTGGTGCGGTTGACGAAACCAGGTTTGTTCGCGATCCGAATCGCGCTCTGGTTGTCGCAGTGCTGGCGAAAGTTCGTTGAGGCCGGGATTTTTGCTTCCTGCAGCAGTTCCTGAAGGTAGAGACCTTCGCGAACAGTTGCTGTTGCTGCGATGAATTCAGCTTCCGCCGATGACAGGGCAACCAGCTCCTGTTTTTGAGAGTTCCAGGAGATGGGGCCGCTGGGCTCGAGGCGGAAGAGGAACCCTGTCCTGGACCGTCGATTGTCGGGGTCAGCGGCGTGATCGGCATCCACGTAGCCAACGAGACTGAAGGATGTGGTTGGGATGGTGGAATAACTGAGCCCGACATTGGGCGTGGAGATGAAGAATTGAAGGGCTCGCTGAAGATCTGAAAGATTCTCAACCGTTGGTTTGCGTGAGTACTGAGCCAACTGGCTCGCAATGTAGGAGAGGTCGGGCCTGCAGGTAACGGATGCGAAGAGCAGGCATCCCAACTGCTGCTGGTAAGTGTGAAGCCCAGCAGGGGACAGGGCTTTGCTGTCAGGCTTGTGGTTGGGTCATGGAGTGCGGTAGGGGGTGGAGAGTGGTGCAGGCGCAATGTTGAAGTGCTTGCTAAGCTCCTCCGCATACTTCGCCGCTGAGAGATGAATGGCTTCCGGCGAGTAGGTGATGTTGAGTCCGAGAAACTGCTTCACGTCATGATTGCAGGTGATGTCGACGCGCCCCGCGAGGCTTCTCTCAAACTGCTCGAGCAGTTCGTTGCTTGAGCCTGTGTAGAGAAGGTCGTCGACGTAGACCGTGAGGATGATGTATTCGCCGCGGAAATCGCGGCGATACATTCCAGGATCGTGAGGCAGCTGCTTGAACCCGATTTCAAGCAGTATATTGTGCAGGTACTGCTGCCAGAGTCTCGGTGCCTGTTTGATCCCATAGAGGGACTTGCGTAGCTGACAGACATGTGGGTCTCCGTCGCCGTAAGTGTGTGGCTGTTCCACGTAGATCACGGCGTCCACTAATGCGTACAGGAACGCATTCTTCACATCGATCTGCCGGAGTGGTAGGTGTCGTGCGGCTGCGATGGCGAGGAGAATTCTGACGGACGTGTGACGGCTGACCGGTGCAAATGTCTGGTCAAAGTCAATCCCGTGCCTTTGATCGTAGCCGCGTACCACCCAGCGTGCCTTGAATCGCTCAATCCTTCCGTCGGCTCCTGTCTTCACTCGGAAGACCCATTTGCCGGAGAGAATCCTTCTCCCCTTTACTGCTGCACGGTCGACGAGCACCCAGGTGTCGTGTGACTCGAGTGCCCGGATTTCCGCATCCATTGCTTCACGCCACTCCTTGCTGTGTGGTCCAGAAAGAGCTTCGCGCGGATTTCGGGGCTCGACGACACGTGGCGGCTTCGAAGTTGCGGTGTGGAGCCCGAGCAGCTGTAGTCCTGAGATGGTGCTGTTGTGGCGACGTTGCGGGATGACTTCCTGTACGTCGTTGTCGTGGCTTTCTGGTTCAGGAGGCGCTGGTGGTGCTGTGCCTCTGCCGCTTCCGCCTGTTTCGCTTCCGCCTGCTGCGCCCATTCCTCCTCCCGAGGAATCGTCATCGTCGTCGTCGTTGTCGCTGCGTCGTTCTTCCCACATGAACTCGCCCCTCGTGTCCTGCTCCAAGATTGCTGCAGCGGCTTCGTCTTCGGGCGTTGCGTAGCTGTGCCCATCGTTAGCGTAGACGTGGTTCGCGTTCGTTTGTTCGTCGCGGCAGAACTGGTCGAGGAAGAGGCGCTCGTAGAAGATGACGTCGCGAGCGTGGGCGATTTTCTGACTGAGGAGGTCCAACACGATCCAGGCCTTGTACTCATGGCTGATGCCGAGGTGGATCCCCCAGCGAGCGCGGCTGGCGAATGTGCCGATGGTTGAGGTCGGCGGGCGGTATTGAACCATGCACCCCCATACGCGCAGCATGGAGGTATCCCCTTTGGTCCCGGTCCATTTGACGTGCGGGGACAGATTGCCGGTAATGGCGGTGGTCGAGAGTAGGTTGTGCACCCGTACTGCGTGGTGCATTGCGTAGGTCCAGTAGATTGGCGGCAATTTCGACTGCCTCATCAGTGCGCGCACCTTCGTCATTAGCGTGCGGTTCGTCCGCTCAGCTACGCCCTGCTGCTGGTGCGCGTAGGGGAGAGAAATATGGTGCTCGATCCCCTTTTGCGTGAGGTAGGTGTGAAATGAGTAAGCAGGAATGAATGAACTATGAATGAAAGCAGTACAAATATGAAACCCTAACTGGGTTGTACCCCCTATGGGATACCCCACTACAGCCTACACAGCAGTATAAGCTATAGATATGTTCTGACACACCCCCATAGGCAAAGTGGGGGAGAACAAGGGGTCACAAGACCAGTCAAGCAAGACAAAGCAAAGCTCAGGGTGGATCACAAAGTCACCACACAGTCCGAGCACAAGAGCAAGGCCAAAGGCCAGTTCACAAGCAAGAGTACAGACATATATATAAAGCTAGACAAGCAAGAGCAGGTATATATATATATCACAGTACAAGTGAAGTCAAGAGGAGAGCAAGTGAGGCAAGACAGGCACAAGACCCAGCTGGGTGCAGAAGCGTTGATGGTCACAAGGCGCAAGTGCCTTGGTGAACACATCAGCAGTGTTGGCCTCAGAGGCCACGTACGCAAGTCGCAACTGACCACGCTGCTGCAGCTCACGAGCAAGGAAGTAGCGGAGAGCAATGTGCTTCGTTCTGTGCTCCAAGCGCTGCTCTCGACACAAGGCCAGCATAGCCTTGTTGTCTACGTACAGCACTGGAGGAGAACGAGGCGGCTCTCCAAGGTCAGTCAGCAGGTAGGTGAGCCAGCGAAGCTCCTGTGCAGCCATGGCCCCGGCGTAGATCTCAGCCTCACAACTGGAGCCGAGAACCGAAGACGAGCGAGTAGACCGCCACGAGACAGAGCCAGAACCAAGGCTGAAGGTGTAACCCTGTGACGACCGCTGCGTAGCCTGGTCGTCAGCCCAAGAAGCGTCCGCGTGGCCGGTAAGGACCACTGGACTCCGCCCTCCAAGCACTAGCCCCATGCCTGACGTACTGCACAGGTAGCGCAATACCCTCTTCGCTGCAGCCATGTGCTCCGGTCTGTGTCTCCCAGGAGCAACATAGCGTGCAAGAATGCTCAGAGGGTATGCAAGGTCAGGTCGTGTGCAGGTCATCAGATACATGAGGCAGCCAACAAGCTCCGCATACGGACCACTCGACTCTACGGACTCATCCGAAGGCAGAGCTGAGAGTGAGTGGCGAGTAGGCAGAGGAGTGGCCTGAGGCGAGGAGTACGTGAAGCCGAAGCGCTGAAGGACCTGCTGCACCATGTGTGACTGAGTCAAGGTAATGGTGCGGCGTGCTCTGTCCCGAGTGATCTGCAAGCCAAGGTAGCTGCGCAGTTCACCCAGGTCTGTGCACGTGTGTCTCTTCAACAGCTCGGACTTCACGTAGGCGAGTCCAGCAGTGTCCGCTGTGGCAAAGACCAGGTCGTCGACGTACACGAGGATGTAGAACGGCGGCAGGGAAGTGTCGGTGCGAAGAAACAGCGACGGGTCAGCAGTAGAAGGAGCAAACCCAAGAGCCGCAAGCGTAGTCCTCAGTGTGTCGTGCCACTCACGCGGTGCCTGGCGGAGACCGTAGACTGGCCGTCGGAGGCTCCACTGGGTGCCAGGAGGGAAAGTCCCAGTGAAGCCAGGTGGACGGCGAAGCCAGATCTCCTCGTGCAGGCTACCCTGCAAGAACGCAGTGCTGAAGTCGAGAGAGTGAAGCTCGTAGTCGCGCTGAGCGGCTATGTGCAGCAGCACCCGAAGAGTAGTCATCTTCGGGGTGGGAGAGAAGGTCTGAAAGTAGTCAACTCCCTGCCGCTGACTGAAGCCACGAGCCACGTAGCGCGCCTTGAAGACAGGCGGCGAGCCCGGCGGCCGCTTCACCCTGAAGATCCACATGCCACTGACGATGTTCGCCCCAGGAGGGGGAACCGCGTCAACGTAGGTGCCTGTGGACTTCCAGGAAGCCATCTCTGCATCCATAGCTGCCT